ATCTTTCAAACAAAATGGCAATTTGCCTGTAAAAGTAAAAAGAAGAAGATGTGCTTATTATAGCACCAAGGAAACAAATGTTCGAACCAGCATCGAGTGCTTTACTTGCAAATTGCCATTTTGTTTGAAAGATGAAAAAAATTGTTTTTTCGATTATCATAACAATTTTTTGTAGCCATTTTGAGTGAAAATAAAATAAAAAGGTTGAAAAATGCTTTTTCTCTATTAAAAAAATTCCGTCCTCAAAGGGTTAAATAAAGAAAATCTTGCTAATTGTTTTCGTCAAATAGATTGTTGGATTAGTATGTTTAAACGATTAATGATTCGAGTATTAATGAATTTCAATATCAGTGTCGATGTGTCTTTGCAGCTTTATCCCGAACGAATGGATTTATGGACTAGTAATTTCACAGAAGAAGACATTCAATCAATTCAATTGACCGACAGAATTCTGTTACAACATACATACATCATTTTGTGAGCACTCGAAAGAAAACGAGATAAAGCAATAGTGACTAATATTCGACAAGATGATCAACGACAAAATGACAATAAAACTAATCCACAAACGTCTCAAGAACAAATGGATGAAGCAAAAGCATGGATGCCAACAACCAGTGCGGTACCCCTCGAAATTTTAGAAAGGAAGAGCACTGGAAAAAAAGTTATACGACAGAGTCTAAATATAAATTTCGTTTAATAATTTTGGCTATATTTTATTTAAACATATTAATTTATAGTAAATACTATTACAATTCTCTTTAATTCTTTCCATATTTTCATTTTACTTTTATTACTTTATGCTTCGTTTTATTCTTGATATTCTTTTATTTTTCTTTCTTCTTTTTCTTAATTTAATAAATAGAGAAAAAAATACACACATAAATATTTATCTTTCAATCAGAGATGGGCAAGTCAAATCCATTTTTGATTTGAATCAAGTCAAGTCACAAGTCATTTGACTTTGACTTGACTTGGACATTTTTTGAAGGGAAGACGACTTGACTTGACTTGACTTGACTTTTTATATATGAGCAAGTCACAAGTCAAGTCCAAAAATTTATATACATACAGGTGTTTTATGCCCTTCAGCTTTGGTTTCTGGATAAAAATGTAATGAAAATTTTTAAATTAAGGACAGCAAATATATTCTTAGATTGACTTAACCCTGAATAAAATGCGAGATTTTGAAATTCAAGAGGCAGTTTTCTCAGTTTTCAATGTTCATCTCACTTCCTAATAAAGTAATTAATGAAAAGACATTTCTTTGTTTGTATTAAAATAATCATATTAGTAAAACTTAAACAGACTATCGTTAAACTTTAACATGAATCATGTAAATCTTTTGACAATTTGCATTCATTTCAAGATGACGTCCTAATAGAAACAGAAGGTTCAATTAGTACAGAAACAATTACCTTTACGTCTTCATCGTAAAATTTAATAATACCTCTAGCTGCTCGTGATAAATTTTTCAAAGATCTTCCATATGAAACAGAAAAAGATAGTTAGCTGTATGTGTAATATGCACAAAGTCAAAAAGAATTTATAATAAAATGACTCGACTTAATTTGAATATTAACTTCAACTTGAAAATTTTGAGACCTGACCTGACTTGACTCGACTTAAGATTTTCAAACAATGACTTGGACTTCACTTGAATCAAAAAACCGGTGACTTACCCATCTCTGAAACTTTCAATAACATTTGATTAAATAAAATTAATACTGTTCGTACTTAATAAGTCCCGCGAAAAATGCAAAATCGCCGAGGATACTTTTTAGGGAGAATCCCAGTACAAGTCAATACATGGCAGTACATGAATTTACGAATTCTAGATGTTTCAGAGTTTTCGACGATTATTTTCCCACTTAAACTATACGTACAACGATACACTACACATGCAATTGGATATCTTGCTTTCACTTTATGTCGCATTTTTTGTGCTTTTTCTATATCGATGATTTTTTGTCAATTACTCTGATATATTTCCTATGCTGACTAACGGTCTCTACTTTCTTGTCAATTCAGATAGTTGTTTATGCAAAAAAAAATACTGATTATTTTCAAATTCCATACTATTTGATAAGCTTTGTACGTTATCTAATGCTTAGCTCAAATTTAACCACTGGCATGATGAAAAAGCAAACGATGAGTAACCTTTTACTTCGTTCTATTGTTTTATATGTTGGTGTGTGCTGCGCATACACTCTTTTCTTTCCTTCACCATGTGCGAGTGTTTTGTTTGTAGCTCGTCCGCTTGGTATAGTATTAGTATAAAAATGATAAATGAGTTAGTGAAAGTGCACCATATAATTCCAAATCTTCTTTTTTTTTGAACAAATAAACTTTAGTGCTATTCCGTTAAATTTTTTTAAGATGTCGACGAACGAATCTGTTGACAAAAAATTCGTCTTCTACATCGACGAACCGATCATCAGTACTGATATCGAAACTTTCTTCGCTACCTATGCTTCTATTCCTGCATCGGCGCTGCGCGATCATCTGATTACTGTGCGTGATCGTGCTTGGCAAAGACACACCTACCAATGTCTTGGTCGCTGGAGATTTCTTCACCCTTCGATCAAACTAAATCCTATTTATCCAGAGATGCTTGAAAAATGCAAAGAGGAAGGTGCAACAGTGATTGATTTTGGATGTTGTCTTGGTCAAGATGTGCGACAATTTGTCTACGATGGAGTGCCACTCGATCAGATTCGTGGCTATGATTTAGATCCTTTCTTCATCGAGCAAGGTTACGAATTATATCGTGATGGTGAAGTGATGAAAGAAAAGAAGATATTTGCGGCAGGAAGCATACTTGACGATCAATTTCTAGATGGGATTGAACCCGCTGACTAGGTTTACGTCGGTGCATTCATCCATCTTATTGACCTTTCAATTCAGCCAGATATATGTCGTCGACTCACCAGGTTGGCAAAACGTGCTATCACTGGTCGACAGGCAGGCGCATGGGTGGCTGCATAATATTCAAGGACTTGGGACTGTATTGGAGGCAAAATTATGCGGCACTCACCAGAAAGCTTTGCATGCATGTGGGATGATGCTACAAATGGTGAATGGAAAGTGAAAAGTGCCACATTGAAGACGATAGGTGATATCAATGATTCTCATCAGGGACTCATTTTTGTTGTGAGAAAGCAAGAAATACAGTAATTACTTTCATAAAAAAGTTTATCTTGCTATATGAATTACTTTTGAAATGATGAACCAATAGATAATAATGATTGATCATAATCAACGTCGAGTTTTTTGAACGAACGGTTGTGTGGCAAAAGAAGGGACACCAACGGAACCTCTGTACTTTAATCAAATGAAGAAAAAACACATTATCGATCAACTAGATACAATGTACACCTTCAACAAAGCAAAACATCTACAGTAGTTCGAGACATTAAATCGTACTTTAGAAATCTTTTCTGCAATAGTATCTAGCTGTTTCTGCTTAGGCCCCTCCCCCGCCAAAAAACGCGATTTGCGTTAAAAAAATTGATTTTGAGATTTTCATATGGTCGGATAGTCCCAGTTGTCTACTTTCGAAAACAGTGCGATTTATCGAAATTTTGATGGTTTTTCACGGTTTTATACAAGATACACTGATGTATTGAACAGAAACATCGACTCAATTTTAAAATTTGTTTTGCGTTTTTCTCAAAACTAGTTTTTCATTTTTTTTTACTTGTGTATCCCAGATTTCTCAGCTATTTTACATGCTACAAAGTTGAGAAAGATCTTAAATTAAAGGGAAAATTGTGCTCTACAACCTAATAGAGCCGAAATTTTATTTTTGACATAGTTTTCGAGAAAAAATGGGTATCTTTACGGGATAACCCCTAATTTTTCGAATTTTTTGAGAAAATGCCCACCAAAACTTAATAAAGAAGAATTTTAAAAAATCTGACTCTATTAAATTGTAGCGGCAGGTGTTGGCTACATTTTGATAGCAATCTCAGATCTGTATCATTAAATTTGGAGAAGAAATCTGGGATACACAAGTAAAAAAAAATGAAAAACTAGTTTTGAGAAAAACGCAAAACAAATTTTAAAATTGAGTCGATGTTTCTGTTCNTTTGAGCCTTATTATTTGAATAATTCTTGAATAACCCCATATTTCGGGCTGAAAATTTTATTATAAGCTCGCCAGGCCTGAGCACACATCTCCTGAAAATTCCAGCAAGATCGGTTATCCTGGGGAAAAAATAGATTTTTGACAGGAAGGGGGAGGTGTCGTCTGTGTTTAAGTATCACGAGTCTCTGTTACTAAAAAGATCAGTACATATTATTGATGTCACGTTCATGAAAACCAGTACGATCATCAAGAACAACTATTGAGAATTCTATTCAAATATAGCTACATGGTTTAACCATAGACCGTTGA